TCCCTCCTTGGTGAGGGGTGCACGCCACCCCCACTCACGAGTCTTGGGTCTTCTGGACCTTCTGCCATTGTTGCTCACTATCCTCTCCACTCCAGGCCCAAGTTCAAATTCCTCATCCTCAGGTACTCCAAACCTGGCTCCATGGAGCCCCCAGTCTCTTTTTTTCCTGGGTCTTTTTTTGGGGCCCTAGCTCTGCTTGCCCCTGTCCAAGTGGTGCAGGGCGGGGAGCGGTGCGGGGAGAGAGATCCTCAATACGATTTCCGGGTTTGGGTCCTTGCCCCAAGAGCCTCTGCCTGTGAGGGAGTCCCCTCTGGGTGGAGAGGTCATGTGGGGTCCCCTCCTCACAAGAGCTCAAGAAACCTGTGGGCCCCAAACAGCCTTCCTCTGCTTGCCACAGCCCTCGGGGATGTCACCATGATGCTGGAGCAGCACAGCTATGGGATTGGAAAGTCACTATCATGTTGTGTCACCTACTGATGCTTGAATCTCTTCTGCCTGCCTTCAGGTGGAGGGACAGACACTGGACAGGCCTGGGGAGCTTCTTGGTGAGGGCACACGACGGTTCTCCACCCCTTCACCTTGAACACAGGGTGCCTGGTGGGGTGCAGCCTGTAGGACCCTTGGACCGGAGCTGCCCTGCACCTTCGCTCTGGTGTGGGAGGCTTCAAGCTACACCTCTCGCTCCCACAGGCCCCTCCACGGGTCTCCAGGGCCTGCCTGGCCACCCCCTCTGACTGGGCTGTTTCACAGGGGCCTCAGGGCACCAAGGAGCCTGGACTCCGTGTGGCAGCTCCAGCCTCTCACTGTGGGTCTGTTCATGCTTCAGGCAGCCTCCTGGGACCCAGCCTGAGAGCCCACCTGATCCCCTCACACGCTCCCTTGTGTGGGCCAGCAGCCCCTTCCTTGGCTCTGCCACACAGCAGCCAACCTCTCAAGTGTGCACTCTCTCTCGAGTGTGCAGATAGAGGTGAGACATGAGTCCACCCCATTTCTCAAACTGCAGGGGACACCATGAAGCTCTCTGAAGCCTCCTTCCTTCGGGGCTGCAAGGATGGGCGTCCCAGCTCTCCCCTTGGGTTCTGCTCACCTCAGAATCTCCCTCCTCTAACTTCAACACCTGCCTCTGTGTGTATCCTCAGTGTGGTAAGGGTTCAAGCCACCTAAATCCTGCATCACTCGTGGGCAGAGGTCAGCTCTCAGCACACGGCCCCCCTTCCTTCCCCGGGGTGCTGCAGTATCTGGGCAGCATTTGTAAGATGGGGGAGTGCTCACTGTTCCAGGAGTGGCCCATCCAGGAAGGGCAAGGAAGGACTGGGGGCCCCTGGGGAAGAGGCTTCGATCCAACAGGACATGGGGGGATATGAACCAGGCTGGCCACAACTCCCAGTTCAAACCCCGGGGTTTAGGCCTGGGGAGATAGGGCACTGGGAGAGCAAAGTGGAGATCCTGACTCTAGGAGGCTGGAAAAGAGGGACACTGTCCATGACACCCAGAGCTGGAACCACAGGCTGACCCCAGAGATACCACCGGAAATGCAACCATCATCGGTTAATGGTTCTGGGTACACTGTGCCCCTTCTACTCAGCTCCCCTTCTACTCAGCTCGTATCCCATCTCTGGGCCTTAGTTTTCTCAACTATAGATAGGGGAACAGTGCTTGCATCTGAGACAATTCACGGGAAGTGCTTAGCACACTTCCTGGTTCATTCCCAGAACCAACAAATGTTAACTGTCTTTGTCCCCTCGGGTGGCCTGAGTGGGCCCCTTCCCATGCAGCCCTTCCTCTGCACACTGAAGCCAGCTGGAACTGCCCTGGCCACCCACCTGGGACCTCAGACAGCCCAGCCCATGTGGCGTTTCTTTGGCAGAATCTGGCAATCATGGCCCACGGGGCCTTTGCTCGGGATGGCCAGGCTGGAGCATCTGGCATGTCCCAGGGCCTTCAATCTGTCATCCCTGCTGCCACAGGGACAACAAGGACACTTGGATCAAATCTCCTTGGAGACAGGGCCTCCCTCCCACACAGCCCTGGGGAATGGAAACTGGCAGCGTGCCCAGAAGGAAACCTCCGGAGTCACCAGGACCAGGGGACCTGAATCCAAAGCCTGGCTGGGCTTCAGCTTGGGAGACCTTGACTCTACCCCCAAAAGCTTCATTTGCTCAAGAGTCAAACAAGCATGAAAAGCCCCACCGCCTTCAGGGAATGTCATGAGAACACATGAGAATGTGACCACAAAGGGGCTTTGTTTCACACATTAAATAAGATGAGCATTTTAGGATTCCAGCATTTTAAAACTGGGAAAATATGTAATATATTTTTCTCTGTGGCTATTTTTCTCTCTCTCTCACCTGCGGAATGCCACCCGCATCCCCAGATACCAGGGCCTACAGTGATACTCTCCAAACCAAGCTCCTTTCAACAGTCAGTGTTCCTTTGGCTGGGTGAAGGTCTTGGATCTTAGATTCAATGACAGCCTTTCCCACCCAAGTCATGGGTGGGTGGAGGGGTGGAATCAGTTATTTTTGCAGAACAGCTACTTCTGATCACAGTGAACTAGGTAATTTGACCTAAATTCCCAACTAAGGACAACTTAAAAGCTACTCAAAATATATATTTTTAAGTTTGATTGGAGGTATCAGAGAGTAAACAAGGGAGTAAGGAATCAAAGGGCCAAGATCTGGGAAAAGAAGGAAACTCAGGGATATGTGCGTGATATTTGGGGCTACTTTCTCCCTGGGAGGTCCGCTGATGCCAGAAGACATTACAAAGGTGCTGAGCAGAGAGCTGTTAGAGGTAAAAATGGGGCCCACCAAGAGGAGGGGCATCTTTCATGCTTTGGGTTGGGACAGCAGAGGAATTCACCCCCAGAATACAAATGAACTGGAAACAGACCAGCATTGCAAGGGACTGCCGATCATCTCAGTCCTGAAACTAGATTAAAACAATCCCAGTTTGGGGCACCTGGGTGGCTCAGTGGGTTAAAGCCCCTGCCTTCACCTCAGGTCATGATCCGAGGGTACTGGGATTGAGCCCCGCATTGGGCTCTCTGCTCAGCAGGAAGCCTGCTTCCCTCTCTCCCTCTGCCTGCCTCTCTGCCTACTTGTGATCTCTGTCAAATAAATAAATAAAATCTTAAAAAAAAAAAACAAAAAACAAAAAAACAATCCCAGTTTTCTGGATCCCAAGCCATCCACCAGATGTAAACATACCCTCGAGATGGTAGATACCTTCATCCCAAGCCTCAGATTATTTCTATAGGTTTTCAGATGGAATATGTGGCATTCAATCAAAAATCACACCAAGTACGTGAGGAGACAAGGCAAAAACAACAAAAACCAAGATAAACAACAGACACAAGAAATAGACTCAAAGAGGTTCCATATTAGGAGGTCATTAAATTTTAAAGTAACCATGTGTGCTATGTTCACATAGAGAAAGGATAAGGTGGAGAACTGGAAATTATTTTGTAATTGTTTTCTCAACTTTTATCCCATCAATTTCATTCTTAACATGCAGGCGCCACAGTTCCCCTGCATAGGGCAACAGATGAGAAACAAGCCAAAAAAGCTTTGGGAAAAGCAAAAAAACAAAAAACAAAAAACAAAAAACAGTTGTGCTTCATTCAAGGATGCCTGGTTGGAGCGTGCTTGGAACAGTGACAGTAGGTTGCGTACACACCATCCTAATTTCTAGTAGCAAATCTGTTGCTGGCTTGTAAAATGCAATGCAACATAGACACCCCCTGAAACTCAGCAGACTCTAATCTTAAAGGGCTTCACACCTTTGAACAGGGACCCATCTCCCTCCTCTGTCAAGAGCCTGTACCTGTCAAGACCCAGCCCAGCCCGTGGCCCAGAGTAGTTGTGGCAGAAAAAAAAAAAAAAAATAGCAGCATCTGAGGATTTGTTTTGTGCCAGGCTCCTGCCAAGGGCTTTCCATGCAATGTCACATTTTTCATAGCCCTAGAAGACAGTCATAACTATTCTCTCCAATGGAGAGACTAAGGTCTAGGAAACACACAGAACATGTCCAAGGTGTCCTAGCTTTCAAGCATTAAAGCCAGAATGTGTAGCCAGGCCTGCCTGCTCTCAGAGTGGGTCCCACTCTCCATCTGCTGATTGCTGGGTTAATCCTGGATGTCCATGGCCAGAGGAAGCCTTGGATTCTCCTCACCAAAAAAAAACTCATTAAACACCAACTGCATATAGGGCCCTAGCCTGAGCTCATGTCAGAGATCCAAGGCCGAGGCTTAGGAAGTGAGAACACTTTAATGGATCTAAGGTTTTGTCCATCTCTTCTCTCTCCTCCACCTTTTCCCTGTTTCTGGAACTCAGCATCCAGCATTCAGAGAGGGCACAGGATGGACTAGGCCTCATGCGCAGGATAGAAAGAGGAAGGGGCACGGTACAGAATCCAGTTGTGGCCACCAGATCTCTCCTGGAAAAGCTGGGTGGGGGTTGTCAAAGAGGCTACCTTCCGGGGAACCAGGGGTGACCACCCCCACTCTGGCCTTTGTCCCAGGTCCCTTCCTAGGGAGCCAGTGCTCAGAGAAGAGCTGTAGGACAAAGCACTATTTCCAACCCAGGATGCGGGCAAGGGGCTCAGCCTTCAGACAGGCCTCCCTCACCCCACAAGGTGGCCAGAAATCCAGGCCAGGGCCTGTGGAGGGTCCAGGTACCTGGGCAGTGGAGGGCTCGAGGGCCATGAGGCAGAGCCCTAGTGGCCCCTGGCCTGCTTGGTGGTTTTACCTGATTGGCTTAGTTGGGCAGGACAAGTCCCTGGGTACCAGCAAGGTAGTCGGATAAGGTAGAAAGGGGTCAAAGCAGGGAAAATAGTTTCCCTGGGGGGGGACATAAGGGCTGGGGCAGAGTGAAGCTGGGACAGGTGGGCAGGTCAGAGGATGAAATGGGACAGGAGCTTGGAGGAGTGGGGGGTGATAGGCAGATAGTGACAGAATGGGGTTGGGCAGGGCCTCTGTCTCATCCACCCACGAGGAAGGGGTTCCAACAGGTAGAAAACAGGCTCCTCCTGGAGCTAATGAGTTTCAGCAAGGAGGATAAGGGATCGATACCTGCAAGAACCCATCGGCTCTTGTAGCTCAACCAAAGTCAAACGTGCTTTTGAGAATGAAAAAAGGGGTTCATCAGCAGAAGAGGGTGGAAAAGAGACAACATGGGGTCAGGGAACTGGAGCTGAAGGCTAATCCAGGCCTGATGCCCGTCTGGGCTCTAGGCAAAAGCAACGGAAGTCCTCGGGTCCAGGGCAAGTCAAAGGAGGAGGAAGGCAGGCAGCCCCAGGCATCACCTAGCAGCCAGCAAATACCCCTGTTCTGGAGGAAGAACGGGGCGGGTGAGGGGAAGGCGGGGAAGGCAGGGCTCAGGCCAGGTGGGCCAGATCCACCACCGGGCCAGACCCACCAAGTCCCAGAACGCTCCTGCCCTCTTGGGCCCTACAGACCCCAGATCCCAAGCCCTTCCTTCCCTTCCTACTTTCCACTCCCGGTGCCGAGGAACGAAGTGGGTGGGGACACTCACCCACTGGGGTCCTACAGCTTCAGGGAGGTGACCCGGGGGATGTGGAAGAGCTGAGTCTCCTCCGAGCTGGTGGAGCTGGAACGTCGCAAAAAGAAAGCCAGTGACCTCCCAGGCCTGGACCCTCGGCCCCGACACAGGGACAAGCCCAGAGCCCTGATCTTCCCAGTGCAGAAACTCTCCAGGGGTAGGAAGAGTTCCAAAAAGCTGTGCATGGCAGGATGTGTTGCAACAAGAAGGCTATGGGACAGACATACAAAAGAACTTTCTGGCCCCAGAGTTGCTCAGAGTGTGTGACTCCTTCGAGCTAGGCCTGGGCCTCCTCTACAAGGGAAGTCTCAGGAGGGGGTGTGGGAGGGGGTCAGTACCCAGCGACTAGAAGGACTCCTTCCCGGACCCCTGCTGTCCCCCTCAGTCCTGGCCACCTCCTCACCTGAGGCATTTCCAAATGGGATGGAAGTGTTTGGAGGTCTTGACGGCAAAGATGATGCTGGGGATCAAGAAGAAGGTGCACCATGCCAGGCAGAACCAGAAGGCATTCTAGAACAGAGGATGTGTGGTCAGCTCTCTGCGGCAAGGCAGCAACTTCTTCCCACCCCGAAGCCTCCTGCTGACTCAGTGAGGGGCACAGGGACGCATTCTCAGAGCTGAGCGGAAGGTCCGGTGGGCAGGCCTGGAGGCAGGGCTCCTGCTTCCCCTCAGGCCCTGCTCATGCTGTCTTGGGGGTCTCCGCATCCATTAGACCTGAGGAGCTGAAGGCGCTCACCCAGGGGTCGGCCATCATGTCACACAGGATCACACGGCTATTGTCCAGGGCTCCAGAGAGAGGCTGGCATGTGGCAATGCGCTGAGTCACCTGTGGTGTCAACAGGAAGCAGGCACATGGAGAGACACTCAGACGCCCGGGCATACACCCCACAGTCAGAGAAGAGGGTGACCGGACAGAGATAAGTCCAGGGAACCAGCAGGGAGCCTGCTCACAGCTGTGCACAGACACATGGATGCAGGGACACAGAGAGGAGGACATGCTGGGGTCATCGCTCTGCTCCTGCTTTTTCCATCCCATTCACCAGCCTGTATTAAGCCCCTACTGTGTGCCCAGGACTTTTCTTTAGGTTCACACCCTCACTGGAGAGGCCCCGCTTGTGGTGTGCATGCCCACACCCACGCACCACCCACATATGCCGATACACATGCACACTCGGGGCTCAGCACGACCGCACCCGCCCCGTGTGGGTCCTGGACGGTTTACAGAGGCCATGGCAGGAGGCGGGCCGATTGGAGAGCTGGGCCAGGGGTCCACGTGAGGAAGGGCATGGGGGCAAGGTTCTAGAGAGCCACGGCCGGCCCAGCTCACACTCAGGCCCCAGAGAAGGGCTGTGGCCGAGGTTGAGTAAGCAGAGCCCCACCAGGAAGCAGGAGTGCGGAAGCCTGGTGCAGAGTTTGGGTTCAATGCTGAAGGCCTAGGGCACCCCAGGGGCTCTAGGGGACAGAGGAAGGATGCAACAGTGTGAAGAGCTGGTGGCACCGGGAGCCTGCTTGAGGCCAGGAGGGCCTGGCCCCCGACTCACCTCCTCTCTTACCCAGGCCACGTACTGGGAGAAATAATCCACTTCCCGGGTCAGGAAACACTCACTTTCCTGCAGGAGAGAGAGGAGCCCATGGCTGGGAGGGGTCCCAGGAGCCAGCCGCCACCACCACCCATGCCCAGCACCAGCAGGACAGGCTGAGCTGGCTTTCCTGGGAGCCATGGTGAGGGGACAGGGGAGAGAAGAAGCCTGGGCAGAAGCTCCATGTGCATTAGTAGCTCAGTCCATCTCTGACTATGTGGCCGCCCCCGGCCCCTGTGCCATGTCCCACTCACATTCCTCAAGATACTGGTGGCCCAGGTAGGCAGCTCTCCTTTTAGGTAAGTGACCTTGTCCAAGACCCCAGAGGTCTCCATCTGGGGGAAGGAGAGGGCTTGGCTCAGCGCCTGCTCAGTCACGGAGCAGCCAAGCGTTCATTCACCCATTCATTAATTCAACGTCTCACACATACTCACCTTGGGATGGGGGTGTTAGGGCCTAAGACACAGAGGCCAAAGATGGTGGTCTTTAAGGATCTATCTATCCCCCCCCATTTCTTCCCACTCCCTATCATCAACCTCCATGGGGACTCGGCGGAGTAGATGAGATCCCAAACCAGCAGGGCCCCTCTGCAGCCCACCGGCTCCACCCCACCCTTCCCATCCCCAACAGCCACCTGGAGATTTGGGGCTTCAGATGCCAGGGCCCTGACCGTGATGTTGAGCTTGGCCTATGGGGGAGAGGGCAGGGCTGGTTAAGGGAAGGGATGCATAGAGAAGAAAGGTTTCTGCCCCTCCCTCCTCTTTTACCCCTCCCCGCCTCTCCTCTTCCCCAGGTTCCAGGCTCCCTGCGCCTCCAAACTTACCACGAGGCTCTCCTGGGGGAGGACCTTCTCCCGATAGAGATTTTGGAGCTGTTGGGCCTCCTGCTGCAGCTGCTGTCCTAGCATGGAACTGCCCTGAGGGGAGACAGAGATGAGAATGGCATGGGACACGCCAGCTTCTGCCAACATATTCTTTACTCAGCTGTTCAGTCAGACATACTGAGAAGATGTGAAAGGTGCTGGGCTCAGGGCAGAAAACCAAGGCCTCTTTAAGCTCCTGGCCCCAATCCAGGTTTGGAGGCACTAATCCCGAGTTCTAGGTCCACTGCTAGCTTACTAGGTGCCTCTAAGCCCACCACACGGAGGTGGCCACACACACACAGAGATGGCATCTCCTAAAACAGGAAATACTCCTCACTCTACCCATCATGTGTGCTTGGTGTGGAGTCAATTTAAGCTCTAAATATTTATAAATGCAAAATGTTATATTTTTTTCTAGTGGAGTTTAAGCTTCTCCAGGATAACTATCACAACACCTAGTCCATAGCACTGTCCTCATGCCTGTCCCAGCAGGCTCCCTAAGCAGTGTGCACTTAGAAACCCCTGCTCCACTTTGTGACATTAGACAGTTACTTCATCTGGTCTGAGGTAGAGGAATGTCCACTTTACAGATGAAGAAACTGAGGCCTGAAGACGCTGAATGACCCTTGGCCACACAGTCCACTGGAGGTAGAGCTTGAGTCAGAACTGATACTCCAAAACTCTTAAGCCCGTCCAGGGGACCCAGGGCCTCAGTGCTTCCTGATGGGAACCACACCCCCATCCCCTGCCTTTGCCTTCATGCCCCTCCCCAGTCCAAGCCACCCAACCTCTCCCACCTCCCAGGCTTCTCTCTGACCCCTGCCTGCCCAGTGGGGCCCCTGGTCCCTTCTCACTTGGGTCCGGGCCAGTTCCTCCAGCTCCTGCGCCAGCATCTCCATGTTGGTGTTCACCACGGGCTTCTGGATCTGGAGACAGACAGGAGAGGCCAAGAGGGAATGCACTGTGGCTCCCCCAGCCCTCAAATTCTCAGTCTAGGGGTGCCTGGGTGGCTTAGTGGGTTAAAGCCTCTGCCTTCGGCTCAGGTCATGATCCCAGGGTCCTGGGATCGAGCCCCGCATCAGGCTCTCTGCTCCGCAGGGAGCCTGCTTCCTCTCTCTCTCTCTGCCTGCCTCTCTGCCTACATGTGATCTCTGTCTGTCAAATTAATTAATTAATTAATTAATTTAAAAAAAAAATTCCCAGTCTATTCAGAAGTACCCCTTACCAGCTAAATCTATTGTGACACAGGGGTCACCGTGGGTTTGACCTGAAACTGTGAAATATATCAGGAATTTTCTGTTAGGATAGAAAAAAACAAAACAAAACAAACCAATGAGGCGCCCTCTGGTATAACCCAATGAAGAGGCCACTTCCCATCAGCATTCACCACAGCAGTGGGTTCAGGACCAGGAACAGCGACACATGCTGTAGGGTGGGAGCCAGTTCATTCCTGCCTAGCCCAGACCAGGGCACCCAGACAGGCTGGAGGCACACAGTGTGCAGATAACCCCCCACAGGAAGAGACCCTCCAGCCCCTAGGGACATGTAGAAAAGTGGAGGGAATGTAGAGGGCTGTGATGACACAAGACACCACCTGTCAGCCCAGCTCCTCGGCGAGCCCCTCTGTCTGCCAGGGTCTGGCCTGAGGGGCTCCCTGCTGACCTGAACAAGGAAGCTGGAATAGTGGATTTTCTCGAGCCCACTGCTCTGCAGGGCTTCCAGGTCCCGGTGGGCGGCTGGGCTCAGCAGGTCCAGATTCTTCATGTCTACTTTGAGGTTCTGCAACTCCTGCTGCAGCTTGGCAGTGTACTGAGAGGGGTGGGGGAGGACAGCGTGAGGGCATGGCCAGTTGCTGAGCCAGGACCCCAGAGCTGCTCTCCGGGGGTCAGAGTCACCAGGCCCTCAGGGTTCTCCCCCTGGTTATCCAGGGCCCCCATCTTGGATATTTCCAGCCCTAGACAGTTTCCCAGGAGGCCTCTGCTTCTCACCTGCCTCCACTCCAACCCACCCCCACCAAGACCTGGCTCTCTGCCCGCACATATCTGGCTAGCGGACAGCATGCAGACTTTCCCAGGCCACCACTATAAAACAGCTTTCCCTGGCCCACGTTTATGGCTGTGGGAGCTCAGCAGAGGGCCTCTGGTGAGATCTCCCCTAGGGACTCACAACTTGATCACCATCATTTTCACTGTCACCCCCCCAGCCCCAACTACCCTACTACCATGGCAGCATCCTAACCAATGCCTATCCTCAGTCAGGACACGCACACCTCAGCCCCGTCACTCACTGTCACCAGCCCTTCCTGCTACAACCTCAGGTGTGTTCAGTTCTTTCTGGAGCAGCGCTTGGAGCTGTGCCTCCAGGCACTCACCCACCTTCCCACACACCCTAGAAACCATCCTGGGCTCTCGCCCTGGGCCAGGCCCTGAGCTCGGCCCTGGGGCCTCTGCCCCAAGGTGTCTCCAACACTCTTGCAGACTTCTCAGGTTCAGTAAGATCGTCCCACCAAGGAGGCAAGGCCAGAGGAGGGAGGATTCTGCAGGAGGGATCCCCACAGCCTTCTAGAAGGTTCCCTCACCTGGCTGATATTCAGGTGTTTCTCCAGGTCATAGGAGTCATTGAGCTGCAGGACACTCCAGAGCGCAGCCCCTTCCTTGCAGTGACTGGGGAGAAATAACGGACACCGAAGATGGGAGAAAAGGACAGCAGGGAGGGGACCGACATCCCCTACCTCAGCTGCTTCCCACACCCTGTCCCCAGCCAAGGCTTCCCACTCACTGATAGGCCAGGAGGATACTGATGTTCTTCTTCAGGCCAAGAAGCTGAGACAAGTTCATGGACGGGGGCAAGTTCCCTGGGGTGTCTGCAAACTGGAAACGAGGCAAAGAGAAAAGGGCCCTGAGCAGGCTGAGGGCAAGGCCACCCCAGCTTCCCTAGAGCCCAGTCCCCTCCACCTCCCTCAGGGCCCCAGAACAGGACAGGCAGGGTCACCTTGTAGAGCTCCTTGCTCTCCCAGCTCTGACACACCAGCGTCTGCACGTTGCCACCCACCAGGAAGGTGGCAAAGACAAGGAGGATGAGGGGAGCAGCGATGAGGAAGCTGAAACCCACACCTCTGGGGAAGGCAGAGGGATGGGGCTGAGGTGGGAAAGAGGAGGCCGGCTACCCTCGACCACACACCCTCTGTCCCATCACATGGCGGGGGTGGCCTGGGGTCTGTTGGCCCCAGGACAGAGCCCTTTGAGGACTCTGCTTCCTAGGGCCAGAGGGGAGAAGTCAGAACTGCTGGTTGTCCCCCCTCCCCTGCCCCCCATTCCCACCTCTCACTGACACCCTGGCTGGCCCTGGCAGCCTAGCTGCTTTGCTCGACGAGAAAGGATGGCCGGCCTCTGAGCCTCGGGCACATGCAGGTGACCGGCTCCAGAGCTCAGCCCTCAACAGAGTCACCTGGCACAGTAGGGGCCACAACGTAGGGGGCTGAATGGGACCAGTGCTGCTGATCTGTAGGGCTTCTCTGTGGGACAGGCACAGCCCCAAGCCAGGGTCTGAGGCTCGGAGAATAGAACAAGGGCTAGATTTCAGCCTCCACTCACCCCTTGGGGCAGGCACCATGATGCAGTGGCCAGCCTGCACAACTGAATGAGGCAGCCCCAGATTTAACCATCTAGTGCAGAGAGGGCAAAAAGAGTCTAGCTCTGCTGCTGCCTCCTACTGGAAGTGCTATCTAGATGCTGGGTTAAGAAGGATTCTGAGGCCCCGTCTGGCTCAGTGGGAAAGAGTACCCACTGATTACGATAATTGTCAATGGCATGAAAGGGGGAGGTGCTTCTTATCTGCCACTCCTGCTCTAGTCTAACCCTTTCACACAGATGAGGACGTGGGGGCCCAGACGGGTTAGTAATTGGCCCAGAGTCACCCAGTGAGTTGGTGCCAGAGCCGGAAGTAGAGCTCAGCATCTCGACTCCCAGGACGTTCTCCTGTAGTCACACCAGAAGCTGTCCATGGGCATGAGAGGAGTCCGGCTGGCCCAGTGGAAGAGACTCTTACCCTGCCCCCAGCCCATCTTACATCAGGAGGAGGCGGGCTCCAGCCTCGCCCTTGGCTTCCGAGTGGCTGGGGTCCTCCCTGGCAGACAGCCCCCAGATGCCCAGGTTGAGGCCCAACAGGTTACAGACCACCACAAACAGGACTCCGGAGCACAACACATAGCCCCAAATCCACCTGCCACAGAGAGGATGGGGTGTCACTGAGAAGGGAGGCACCAGGATGGGGTGGCATAGGATCTAGTGGCTGGGGGGATGCCCACAGCCCCTGTGGGGTCCCCAGGCTCACGTCCCAAGGGCCCATAGCCAAGGTGGAGACAGAAGCCCAAGGAGTAAGGAGTCTTGGCTGAAATGGGGGCAGATGCTCAGTATAGCCTGGGGTTGGTTGATGAGGGCTGGAAATCGGGCCCAGTGTGGCTGTGACGCTAGGCTGCCTGTCCCACCCCGAAGCCCATGGGTTCCTGGGCACCTGTGTTTCTCGTATCTCTGCACTTCCTGCAGGTAGGGGCGGCTTCTCTGTTCCACCTCCTCCAATGCCTGGCTCCAGCGAGCAGCTGCCTCCCACCCTGGGAACTCTTCGGCCAGTGTCTTCAGCCCTTCAGGCTTCTGGGCCACCACCTTCTTCAGCTCTGCCCCAAGCAGCAGAGACTTATGGGAGGGGGAAGGCACCCAGGAGCCCAGGGAGGAGACGGATGGGCCGGAAGAACATCTGAGACCCCCAGAGAGGGCCCACTCTCTGCCCAGGCCCAGATGGAGGACAGCCTTATCCCTCCACCCCTGCCCCCCTCACCCCACCCCACCTCCTCTCCATAGGCCCCTCTGGTGGAAGCAGCAGGCCCCGGACAAGTCCTCACCTTTGACCACATCGGCCATCTGCAAGGCCGCCAGGAGCGGGAGGGCATTGAATGTGCTGTTCTCCTGCCGGGACAAAAGGTGGCTGTGCCTCCTGCTGTCCACCCACAGTCCCAGCTTGAGGGACCCCTGATAGCACCAGGCCCGGGGGAGGGAACCCCTTTCAGCACTCAGCTCAGGGAATCAGGAAACAGGCCCTTTGTTCTCTTGGTAGATGGCTTCTTCTCTGCTTCCTCAGCCCTGCCTGACTCAGCTCCCCAAAACACTGCTCCTGGGGGACCCCTCCTGTCTCTCCCCGCTATTGTCTTCTCCTTCACCCATCCTGCACATGATGCCAGGCCTCGCTCCCTGAAGTCCGGCTCCAACCTACCCCTCCTTCTCAGCTCCCCCAATCCCTTCCTCCCGGACCTTTAGCTCCAGCCACCCAGCACAGGTGACTCACCATTTCCCCAACTCTGGCATTTTCCAGGCCCCGGGTCACAGGTGCTGACTCATGCCGCACCCTCCCCCACAGCCTATCTGCACCGAGGCTGCACCTCCAGGGCTTTGCTCGCATCCTTGCTCCCTGGCCACCCCAGTCCCCACCATCTCAAGGAGCCCACCTCTTCCTTCTGGCTTCCGGGGCTGCCTCCCCCACCAGACTGCACACACTCAAGAATCCTCATCATGAGCCCCTAGCCCAGGGAGCCCTGTGGTAGGGAAGGCCCTGGTTTGACCCAAGTCTTAGATTCACCTGAGTTCCCACCCCAAAGGGGGAAAATGAGGCCCCCTCAATTGTGAGCTACTAGGTGATGGGGAAGTCGGGTAGAATGGACAGGCACTCACCCCCTGGACCATGCTGGAGAAGTTGGCCTCTGGGACGCCCTTCAGCCGATGCAGGACATCGTCCATGGGGGACACCTGAAATGGGGAGAAGGGGTGGTATGACAAAGTCCATGGAGAGGCCTAAGGGGGAACCCAGAGGGAGGATGAGAGGAACCCTCAATGTCCTCACATGCAAAACAGGGACCATCTCACTAGGGGGCAAGGAGAACTCAGGGAGCTAAAATACAGGAAGCCTGCGCACAGCACATGGCCCAGGAAAACTCTCTCGCCCCACTGCCGGGATGACCAAATCATGAACCCTTGCTGTGTGGGGAGGGAAGGAGCTGCCTGAGGAAGGGGATCCGGAGTCTGCCTCAGGAAACACCCAGGGATTCCCAGGGTAGCAGGCAGAGCAGCTCTCTTCCGTTCAGGAGGCCCTCACCTGGTGGAAGTCAGCTCCCAGCTGCAGGGCACGGGCTCGGTTCTGGGCCTCGGTGCAGCCCTGGCAGCTGGGCTCCTCCAGCAGGCCGAGGAGGCGCTTGCGGCATTCCTGGACGGAGGGCTCCAGGCCCTGCTGTCCCTTCCACAGCTCCACCAACGTGCTGTTCAGGGCTTGGAGGTGATCCACAGAGACCTGCAGGGCTGAGGGACCCCCTTCTGGACCCCACGACCTCAGAAGGCCTTGTGGGAGATAGAACCCCTTCCCCTTTCCCCATCCCCAGGAAGGTGGGTCAGGAACCTCTGTGGTTAGAAGGGAGACGGCCCTAAGGGCACGGGAAGCCAGGCTAAGGATCCTAGATAAAGCCATGAGGAAGTCACGGGAGGGGCCTGCTGCGGAGGCAAATGGGATCCTGGCCTGGGTGAAGGTGGGGCCTGCCCTCAAGCGATGCCACCCCCACCCCCGCCTCTGGTCCCACTCACCCTGGCCCAGGCTGCTCACTGAGGCCAGCATTTCATACACAGTGCTCTTGAGCTGGGTGTGGATAGTGCTCCCAATGTTCATGCCGACCCCTGGAGAGCACAGCATGGTCTGCAGGCCTGGCCCCCAGGAGCCTAGGAACCCTCTTCACCCATCAGTCCAGCCTCCCCAGGCCCCACACTGGGCTCTGCAGAGTCGCTGGCTTCTAGGTCCTGCACAGCGATGACTGTACTCCCTAACTGGGCCCCATCCCTGCCTCTTCGAGGGTGTGGCCAGGTGGAGCCCAGGATGAGGAGATGAGAGGGCACCCCCAAGACAAGCCACAGCAGGGGGATCCACGGGCTGGCCCATCTGTCAGCCGGCTGTATCCCTCACCATCCAGTTCCTCCAAGACTTGCTTCTGGGGAAGGGAGAACTGCTGTGCCACAGCCTGCAGCTCCTAGGCAAACACAGGGTCATGAGACCACTCTCCCCTTGTCACCTGACATCCCCCCCACTCTCGTCCCTTCCCCAGCTCTCTCCAGGGATGCACCACACAGCAGTGTGGTCATCCTGAAGATGCCCAGGGTGCGTTCATGTATTACAGCCACTCTCCAGCAGGGGGCAGTCAGGGGGCTCATTGAATGGGGAGTCCTTTCTAATCCGCAGGTCCCCGCTCTATTCTGTCTTGCCTGGGGCTGGTGCTCATGCGGGCTTGCCGGGGCGAGGGGTCACTCAGTACTTACCCGAGGGACATCGGAGACCAGGCCCCGGAGGCTGAGCAGAATCTCAGGCACAGCCTCCACACTTGGGCCCATCTGCTCATGCATGTGCTGGTTGGTGACAAAGGCACAGACCACACCAGTCCTGCAGGGATGGGGGAGGACACAGGGGCTTGCTGGATGCCCGCAGGCACCCTGGGCCTCAGCCCACACCTCCCGCCTGGCCCGAGCGCCTCTCACAGTAGCACGAGGGTGGTCAGCAGCAGGAAGGCCATGAGGGTGCCTCGCTCGCAGGCCGTGGCCTTGTGCTCCGTCTTCACTCGGCCCCCACAGCGCCGGCGGCAGCAGCAGAAACACAGGCCAGCAATGGGCACCGCCAGCAGGTAGAGGCCGGCGATCACCGCACACACCACATAGCCCACCTCATACCGCACCACCTGGGCCAGGCGGCAGGCATGAGGGGCTGTCCTGACCCCTTTTGCCCAATGCCACAGAACATCCCCAGAAGGGGAGGGGATGAACACACAGTGGGTACTTTGCACACATCTCCTAGAACCCATGCAAGGTGCACAGTGTCCTTGTGATTTACCAGCTCTAAACCAGGAAACCAAAATCTGTGTTTGTTCCCTGAAAAACCCAGGGCCCGTTAAGTGCAGAGAGCTGTGGTTTGAAATTAGGTCTGCCAAGTGCAGTGCTAAAAGAAGGGGGAAGAGATGCCTGGGATCCCACCCTGGGGGACACCCAGCAACATGGGCTGAGCTGAGGAAACCCCTCATGCTCACCCCTGAACTTCCCCCCCCCCCGCCCCGCCCCCAGGGCTCACCTCATCCACCTTCACCGAGGCTGGCTCATTCAGCAAGGTCTTTACCAACTCTAAGGAAAGAGTCAAGCTGGGGAGGGGGTTTTTGAGGACAGCCCCTGCCCACCCTTGTGCCCACGCCCACTGCCAGGGAGAGTTGGGGGTCTCTGGAAGGGCTCCTCCCACCACCATGACACTCTAGGAGAAGCCCTGGGCCATCCCGCCCAGGCCTCAGTGCTGCCAGGGGAGGGAGTGGCTGAGGGGAGGCATGGTGGACACCTCCTCCGGGACCCCACAGCTAAGCCCTGCAGTGGAGAAGCTGCCAGTCTGGTGAAAAGCAGAGGGCCTAGTGGTCCTTTCCCTCAAGAGGCAGGGGACAGGCTGGGAGGGACAGGGCTGTAACCACTCCTGGCCCTCCCACCCCTCAGCACCACCAGACCCAGGGAAAATCTCAGCCAGGTCTGTGAGAACTTCTAATGCAAGTTTTTCCACTTGAAGGCAGACAAACTGACGCTCAGAGAGGGAAAAGGGCTTGCCCAAGGTCACGCAGGAAGGTCTCCATGGGATGCCCCTGGGCCCCGGGGTCTTCTGGGAAGGACGCCGGGGGTTGGGGAAGGCCAGGGACCCTGCGCTCCAGGTGCCTGCTGACAGGGCAGGCAGCCCCGCCGTGGGGTGGGGAGCCCGCCGTGGAGTGGGGACCACTAGCTGGGAGGCCCACCCGAGGGAGGGGCGCACTCACCGGCGGGGAAAGGGTTGAGCTGCACCACGGACAGGAAGCGGCGCACCGTGCCGTACAGGGGGTTCAGGGCCCCCGGCGGGCGGACGCGAGGGGCCAGCCAGTGGACCCTGGCCGCCGGGGCGAACGCCAGGCGCTGTGCGCTGCTGAGGGACCCGCATTCCGCGGCCCCCGCCCCCAGCGGGCTCAGCCCCAGCCCCAGCCCCAGCCCCAGCCCCAGCCCCAGCCCCAGCAGGGTCGCCAGGAGGCCGGGCGCGCGCGTCATGGGGTCGTCCGGGGGGCTGCGGGGCAGGCAGGACAGGGCTCAGGCGGCCGGGCGTGCGGACAGAGCGCGGGGAAGGCCGTGCATCCTTCACCAGCCTGCGTCCCCGCGGCTCTCAAAACCGGCCCGACAGGTTTGGGCTCCTGAGCTACCTGGGCGCCAGCCCGCTGCGCTGGAAGGGCAGGGGCGGAGGCCTGGGGTAGGGGGGCAGGGCCTGGCCTGGACCCGCCTTCCGCGGCCTGGGGTGGGAGCCCGGGCTCCCTCTCCCCTCCGCAGATCCTCCTGGCAGGGGCGCCTCCGAGCTGGGTAGGGAAGACACCTCAGTAGCTCTGGATTGCTTAGAGTGGCCCAGGTGCAAATATTATATTCCATACCCAGACCCAACAGCCCAATCTGGGGCTGGGAAAACAGCCACCCAGTGCAGCCCTGGCCCAAGGGGTGGCAGGCAGCCCAGACCCAGGAACCGGGCTCCTCCCCCAGCTTCCTCTGGGGCCGGCTCTGTCCCTCGGGTCATGCCTGCACCTGTCGGGATCCAATCTGGAGCAGAGAGGCCACCAGGCTTCACCCAAGGGGGCTCTCAGAGGAGCCACTGGGACAGGTACAACCCTCCGGAGGGTGAATCCCGGCAAAGGTGTGCGTTCTGGCCCAGCAGTGCCCCATCCCGTCATCAACTGAAGGAACTCATCAAGGATAGGACGGGAGATCTGTCTCCACAGGTCTCTGCTTTGTCAGTGGCTGTTTGCCCGACACCCAGAGGGTGCCCCGGGCTGAGCGGGTTGTGAGGAAGTATTGCTAAATGGTTGGGGGATGTTTCTGGCAGCATTATTCCTGATACGGAAACTATCCCAATGGCTGCCACCACCACTAAGGAAATGGTGAAATGAGCATCCCGCCAGATACCCAGGGCAGTCTGTAGAGAAAATGATGTGGCAATTGCTCTCTTGACTTGAAAGATACTCAATACTTTAAGGGCAAACAGCTGCTTATGGCACAGCACGTGGACTGGAGGCATAAAATACTGACCGTCTTGGGTAGAATCATGGCCTTTTTATATTCTAACCTGCTCCTCTCTACTTGCTAATCTCTGTGCAATAAAATGTGTTACTTGTGTTCACAGAAGGATCAGAAGTTTGTCGGTTTCCACAGCAGCCACATTTTCCACAGGGATCCCTGGAGGGAGTGACCCCTAGGTCTGTGACCCTTAGGCTCTGCCCGCTTGGCAGGGGTGGGGGAGGGGCATGGAGATTCCCAGCTGCTCCTGGGGGGTGGGGTGAGCCCTAAAGAAGTAACTTAAATTTGAGTCAGGGCTGAGCCTGCAGCCCGATCCCTCCTATGGCTGCCCCCACTGTATCCTCTGTGCCGGGACAGGAGTACAGTCAGAGAAGGAATAGTCCAGTTAATAACGGGGTGCAGACAGGAAACAGAACCTCATCAAAGGGTGACTCAGAGATGAGGATCGGGGCTGCAATGGAGGGGCCGGGGGTGCTGGCTCCTGGGGTCCAGGGAGGGTCCAGGACCAGCACTGCCCTGGGAGGCCCAACTCCAGTCAGTGGAGGGGGGCTCCTGACCACTCTGCCCTGAGACTGTGCGGGACAGCTAAAGGCGGGCTGTGTCCCCCCACCCCCATCCTGTTCACCTGAGCCCAGCACCTGCGCTGGGGAACCATGGGCCCCTGGAGCCTGCCAAGGGGAAGGGCTGGTCTGCTCTCTCCTCTCCTCCTCCCCACAACGTGAGCACTGCCTCCAGAAATCGGCCTTTCCTAGCTGGCTATAATCCCTGTGGGGCAGTGAAGTCCGCCGTTTAGGGGTTTTTTGGTATTCCCCGACTCAGAGAAGTGGTGGGGGAGCGAAGGCCTCAGTTTCCCAGGAGATGGGAAGTGCTTAGGTCTGTGGGAAACGTCCAGCTCTGCCCCCACCCTGTGCAGCCTCCCACCCTTTGTCTCTTCCCAACTATTGTCATTAAGCCGTGAGTTGCTCCTGCTATTGTTTTCATAAGTGTCTATGATAAAAGCACTGTACTTTGAAGGTAAGATTTCCCCAAGAAGAAACAAAACATCCCAGCTCTTTTTTTAGCCTAAGGGGCAGGAGGGGTCGATAAAGATACTGAATTTGCCAGTTTGACAGGTGGACAAAGTGAGGCTCTGAAGAAGGGAATTTCCTGAGTCAGTGAAGAGGCCAGGAATCTTCTCCTGAGCAGGATCCTGATGGAACAATCTATCATCAGACTGGCTGGTCAGCCTCAGGCTTGTCCCCTTACCCCAGCCCCACCTGGCCAGCCCGGGCACCAGGCCGGGGCCATGAACCTGCTGCTGTAATTGAATTTCTTTGGGCTGGGATTGAGGAGAACAGAACAACGGGCTGTGTTGGGTCTGGGTGGGCTAGGCCCCTTTGGCATCAGGGATGCCCCTGCCTCAGCCTCCAAGGACATGGGGCTGCTGGGCTTCTAGAAGGATGGAAAGGGGTTCAAGCATGGTCCTGTCCCACTCCCTCCTTTTAGTCACACCTTTCTGGCACACCTGCCTGTCCCTTCTTACTGCAACCCCCTGGTACTCTCTGCCCTATGTGGAAATTCTTTGGTTGATCTGGAAGCAGCTGTCTCTTGTTACCTTGGGTATACTTCCTGGGGCCACTTTCTCATTCCCGACTCACAGTTTTCAGAAGTTTGATGGTCCCCAAACCCCACAGTCCTGAGGTCAGTGTGGGGAGTGTGGAGGAGGAGACCAGGGTAAGGAGAGGGGCTCTGCCCTTCAGGAAACAGGTCGGAAGGACACCAGGTGTGGCCTGCCAGCTGCCTTAGGCGCCACCTGCTGGAAATAGAGGGAAGGGCATGTCTCAACATTCTCAAGGAAACAGCTGGTATGCCCTGTTCTTTCTGGCCTCAGGTGTCCATGCTATGTCCCAGGAATGGGTTATAAACCAACCCAAGGGGACAGACGATTGAAGATGGAGTACAACATTTGCTTAGTCAACATGATTTTGATGACAAGAATCAGAGACACTGTTAAGTTGCTAAAGGATCTGAAAAGTGAGAATTTATTATAGAGAAACAAGACATTTGAGGACTCCACGCCTGAAAGATGGGGCTGGGCATTACGAGAGCTCAGAGCCTGGAACAGGAAGCCCATCGAGTGCCCGCTGCTCTGTCTCAGACGGTCTGTCAGGGCTGAGGCTTCTCCCTACTGTGCGCTGTCCAGGACCCTCTGCAGACCTTGTCTACATCCAACAGGACAAAGAGGGATGTCCTGCCAATCTGAGTCTACCTGTTCTCCCAGGTCTACTGTCCCCAGAGCCCACAGCACTGTGAGCCACATTTTGAATCGTGGCACAAAGAGACTCATGGCGCCAGCGTGAGGCAGTATCCCCCAGGCCACCCTGGTCAAGCCCACAGGGACAGACTTACATGGTATGGTGACAGGCTGGTGGCTGTGTGAGGACTTCTGAGCGGGAGGCAATATCCAGAAGATGGCAGCCATAGTCTTGGGAGCAGAACCTCATTCCAAGAAACCACCAAACAGGTATGCCTCCTAGTGTGTATCATTCTGAAAAGCTTTTGGTAAGAATTCCACAAGAATGGAAGGAGGTGTAACTTCATGGAAATATTCTGGAGAATTTCCACCACCACGTACCCCACCATAAAACCACCCCTGACTCTTCGTCCCTTGTTCTTGAATCCAGCCACTCAACTGTATCCTTCCAAGGCTACCTCCTGAGCATTTCTCCAGAATAGACCATTGAAAATGCAGACAGGGCCATGTGACTCTTCAGCTTCAAACCCTCCAGAGACTCCTCCAGTCTCAGGATGAGAGTGAATTCCTTAATTTGTCTTCCCAAGCACCACCAGAGCCCTCAACTCGCCTGGCAGTTCCCACAGGGTTCTGCTCTCATCTTGTACCCACTCCATCCTGCCCCTGTCCACATGGTCCCCTGCTGTACCCCACCCTTTGCTTTCACCCCATTTCTGTTCATCCTTCAAGACTTGGCTCAATGGGCATCCTCTCTGGGAAGCTCCCAGATCCCTCCCCCAGGCTCAGGTGGCAGTCCCTTGAGGCTGGTCCATATTTCTTGGTCATGAGTCCTCCTCACATAGAGTATTTTATTCACCCTCCCATCTCTCCAGCCCCAAGCACAGAACCTGGCACATAAAGCATTCTCCATAAAAATTTCCCTAGACTAGAAAGCAGATTTCAAAACATTTAAAGAAAAAACATTCTCTCTCAGCCAGAGTCTTTGAGGGAATGTGCTTCAAGAATAGATGCTAGATGGGGCATCTGGCCAGCTCAGCTGGTAGAGCGTGTGACTCTTGATCTCAGGGTCGTCAGTTCGAGCCCCACTTTGGGCATGGAGCTGACACAAAATAAAAATTAAAAAAGAAAGGAAGGAAGGAAGGGAGGGAGGGAGGGAGGGAGGGAGGGAGAGATGGGAGAGTTCCCCAAGCTGAAATTCTGTGCATGAGGTGGTGAGTGAAGCAGGCAAAGAGGGGTGGGGTGGTATGGGAAAGGGAGGAGGCTGTTTGGTGAGTGGCATGTCCCTGGGAACTTCTTCATGAGCTTTGCCAAGCATTAAGGATGGGGTACAGCCCAAAGAGAGGCCACAGGAAGCATGTGGGGGCTTCAGCAAAGTGCTCTAACATCTCTATGGTAACTGCCGCAGGCCAGGGGTAGCTTCCAACATAGCTGCTTGGGCTCAGCCCAGGGGCAGCAGGTATGCTGGGACAGGCAACCTTGTCGGGAGTAGTCATAGTCAGGAAGACAGGGGCCCAGGCACATGAACATGGCTGCGCTCTGGTCTGCTAAAGGAAGCAACCCAATAGTGGATAGATCATCCAGAAGGATTTGCTGTAGGAAGGATTCGGGTCAGTTGAAGGTTTCAGTCTTTCCAGGCCAGGCCCCCTGAGTAGGCTGTACACTCATGGCCAGGTCCATCCCCTTGAGACCAGAGGGTCATCCTGTTCCCCCAACTTCTTTGTCTCTGTGTCAGTTAGGAGGACAGCATCTTCTGGCTTGAGCCAGACCTCCTCAAGGCTCCCTGGCATCCTCTTCCTCATTACCCACAGCCTCCTGGGCTACCCCTGCTCTCCAAGGTCAAAGCCTAGGCCACATGTGACAAGGACATCTGTTCCCT